TTTATTGGTTTGTATGTAGAATATTTTATTGGGTGAATGTGTGGTGGAGAATCTTACTGTAGCAAACAATTTTTTGGATTAATGGTAGACAAACAGGGGCTTATTTTGTTTGGTGAGGAGACTCGAGAAGAGAAGAAGGCTACTGAAAAACGTGCTGCAGTCGTGTAAGCATCTGGAAATAAGAAAGAGAATAGTTTGTGTGTTCCGTTTATGATCGAGTTTTTCTCTTACCATTTTATTTCATTTTGAACATTCTTTTTATTCAAGTGTATGGATTCAGAAATTTGTAATGAAATTATCAATTTTTATGCAATTCCAAAATTTGTTCATAAGTTGCATTTTCAATTTTGCTAATCTATTTGTATAAATAGTTATTGTTAAAAAAAAAAAAAAACCTACGGCAGCGTTTGACAAATGTTGCGAAAGACAGCCTATGGCAAATGTTTGCCAAACATTGTCGTATCTCTACGACAACGTTTTTTAAATGTTGTCGAAGACTTTCGGCAACGTTCAAAAAACGTTGTCGAAGACTTTCGAAAACGTTCGAAAAACGTTGTCATATCTCTCTACTCTACGAAAACACCTCGATTTGCAACACACGTCCAAACATTGCTGTAGGTCTACGACAACGTTTTTTGAACGTTGCTATAGGCTGTTTTTGTTGTAGTGACATGGTGTTACGTCAACAAATGATTGTGTTGTTAATGACTAGAATTGTAATGGGTATCTTAACACCTTCGATGCAGACTTTCTTTTCAACAAATTTGCATTATTTATGATCTCATCAACCTAAATGAGATCCTCCTGAGTGAAGTTAACATCATCAGTTAATTCAGGTGAAATTGATATTTTATTCAAAATAGCTGCAGATTCAAATATGACAACTTCCCTTGTTTTGTTCGGTGAACAATTCATCACTAGCAAGGAACTGATGATAGGCCATGAACATATTGGAACGTACATTTGTGAAACTGACCTTCCATCACCATCAACATACTACACAAATGGAGTTAAAGTTGGATTAAAGATACAACTGTGTTTCACATAAGAAAAAAACTATATTTTCACAAATGGTTACAAATTGTTTATAACTAGATACATTCACTTTTAATGTACCTAGCCCCTTTGATGCAGGGTATATCATTACCATGCATACAATGATTCTTTGCCCTCATCTCTTTTAGTAAGGCGTCGTAATTATGTTCAACATTACATTCAGCCAAAGAATGTCAATTTTTATATTAGACTGGAAGTATATCATCCGAGTTTGATTTGGTAGTTGTTTGAGCATTTGGTTCATAAGATCTTGTAGCACCCTAATGATGTGCATCTGGTAACACCATGTCAAAAAAATATAGGATATCAATTTACAAGGATAGAAATAATAGATGAAATCCATTTTGTATGTTAAACAACTACGAACCCTCCTCAGCTTTGTGGCAACAAGGGTAATGTGGCTTGAACATGGGACAAAGGTTAGATTCGAAAAGCTCACGAAGTTTTGGTCTTTTACTCACTGAATCTAATTGTCCCAAAAGATCTTCACCAAAAGAAATTAAGGAGGGTATCCTTATGCACTCCCTGTATAACAACCTCCAATAGTAAACA